AATTCGTCACGATCATTAAGGTCTCGGTAGCATAGCATCCTGTGTTTTAAGCATATCTTCATAAATCGACACTGTCACTCGGAATCAAACACCGATACGCACACATGCAGATATTTTTTTGGAACAGTAGCGATAGGTACTCTGTCTATCTTTACATCTTATATCTATGGTTTCATTTGACATCGTGGTTTACCTACAATGCGAAGAAATGGCACTCGGTAGTGCCATTTCTAAGCAGCCTAAGAAATACAAGAAGAAATTCGTCACGATCATTAAGGTCTCGGTAGCATAGCAATGCATCCACCCAGATAGCAGAAAATGCAGGTTCAAGTCCTGCCTGTAATTCATTTTGTAATAATTTTGGTTGTCGTAATTTAGTTTCAAAAGTTTATTTGTATAAGTTGTAAGTAGTTCTGTTAACGGGTTTCAACTGTATCTATATATATAAAACTCAAAGGTGACTGACTGACTGACATAGTGATCTATATCTACGCGCGGCCCAAACCACTGGATGGATCGGGCTGAAATTTGGCATGCAGGTAGATGTTATGACGTAGGCATCCGCTAAGAAAGGATTTTGATCAATTCTACCCCCAAGGGGCTAAAATAGGGAATGAACGTTTGTATTAAACTTTGTCAAATTTAAACCGATCGGGCTGAGACTTTGCATGCAGGTATAAGAAGAATCATAGATGAATGTCATTGTGTATAATACAACAATTCAGCTCTACACCGAAGCGAAGCGAGGGCGGGCCGCTATTTTTTAATATTTTTATACATTTTCCGCCGTTTCGGATTCTTTACAGGCTCCGGTTTGGAAGAAAACCAAACAACGTGTGCACTGCACACAGTACTGGAAGGTGATGGGTTCCTAATTGTTATCCCCTTTGCAGTATCGAATAATTAAAACCCAGTCATCTCTACGGTTTCTATTTCTAGGAAACCTATTAGAAAGAAGGCAAGACAATAATTTATATAAAATATTCTATGAATAATATGGCTTCTATTCTTTTCCTTTTGGGATACGGAACCCTAAAAATTTACAAAATCTGATCTTGCCTAGTCACAAATGCAACAAATACAAATTCCCCTACTTTTAGGGAAAATTTCCCGTAAATAAAGTAGCCACACAGTTGTATTTTTGTTTACAATTTTCATCCTTGTAAATAAAATATAATATAAAAAAAATATCAAGAATCGTCAATACTTAAGCATAGTAGGTGATTCCTTGTGACTTTTCAAATTTACTCGTGTAGTTTTTACAAGATTTCACCACACAAGACGGCATTTTTTTTTAAATATATCGGAGCAATTGAACGTGTGACTGGCGCTGCCACGCGAATTCAAATGGCAGCGGATTGTCCGACCTGGGCCCCAATTCTCGCGGCGTAGATATTATATCGGCTTCGAGATAATATCGAAAGTAGGGATATCTATTGAAAATATCTACTGATGGTAAAAAATGCTATTCTCGTGAATTTTCGATATTCCAATGATATTATATCTATCGTAGATATTCTTTCACTGCCGAGTGCGTTCCGTTTTTTTCAATTAAGTTAACATCATAGTCTATATAAAATAATATTAAATTAGAGCAGAATTTTACAAGCAACAAAATGTTATTTTATATTTTATGAATTCCATTCATATTAAATATGAGTATACATTTTTTGAATATATGAAATCTCAACTTTACCTAAATTGTATGCGTTTAAAATTTCAACGTTACCTATGTATAATGAAACGTCAATATTATTTAAGATTCTCCTTTTTCAGGGAAGGCAAAGGGAACAATGCCCATACAGCCTAGTCTTTAGTTATATTAATCTTCTTTTTTTTTACATTCGAATGTCGGTGTGACGCATTCTAATGTTTCTTGGAGTGTTTGACACGAAATGTATCGAGTTGGTTTTTTCGATAAGCTTCTGTGAGTTAGTTAACACTACAATGGTGTCTATTCTGGCGTGATTCTCTAAACTTAAAACTAAATTTAATATCAGTCTCTCCTTTTCATTCTGTATAGAGAATGAAAAGGATGCTCTGTTGTCAAATTTAAGTTTAGCTTTAGAGAATCATGCCAGAATCGACATCAATAAGTTCTCGCGTCCACTTGACCGAAATAGCGTATATTTTAAAGATTCCACTAATTCTTCAGTTGCGCAGACGGTTGTAACACCAAATTTCACAATATCCACTATGCACGAATTTTAGAATAATTAAAATAAGATGCCAACCGCACTCGCAGAAATCCCGCCAAAAACTCCGTATCGTCAATAAGAAAATGGTGTTGATTCTGGCATGATTCTCTAAACCTAAATGTAAATTTGACAACAGTGTATCCATGTCTTTCTCCATACAGAATGAAAAGGAGAGACTGATGTTAAATTTAGTTTTAAGTTTAGAGAATCAGTGTCAGGATCGATACCAATGTCATTCATAACTTTATAGATTTCTAACCAAATTTTTGTTTAAACGTAATTTTTTTATAAAGTCGGCGTCCCTCATTTCAAATGGGCCCTCTTGCTGTCACAACGGCGGCGCCTGAGCACAGCAGCAGCAATCACGTCATTTATTAAATCATTGACGAAAACATGAATCAACTCATCCATCGTTAATATAAACTGGTGTCGATTCTGGCACGATTCTCTAAATCTAAACTTAAACTTGACAACAGTGTTCCTTGTCATTCTCTATACAGAATGAATAAGAGAGACTGATGTTAAATTTAGTTTTAAGTTTAGAGAATCACGCCAGAATCGACACCATTGTTTACCTTCTTCTTTATTTACTAATTATTTATGAAGGCAGTTAACAACATCTTGAGGTAACAATAATTGGCAAAGACACACGACAACACAATAAATATTAGGTAAAAAAAGTGGAAATAACAAGATTGACATGCCAAGATCCATAGATATTTATATATCGAAGGCTCTTTACCAGTCGATGTATGTCTACTGATCATCCGTAGATAAATATCTATTGCGACATGGTGAGAATAGGGCAAAAAGGTTTTCCTTCGATAAAAGCCAGATCATTCGATATATATCGAAGGTGATATAATATCTATGCCGCGAGAATTGGGCCCCTGGTGCATTAGTGTGAGTGTAGGTAGTGTACAACACACAATTTTGTCTGACCTTTATGTCATTGTCATGCTTCACATGATTTGCCTTTGATAATACGTCCGTCTTTTTTTCAGGTCCGTGATACTGAAGTGTGCGTGCGTGAGAGTTGCCTACGTAGTTTAGTCGCAGCATATTTTATTTGATGCTAGTATGAACGTACCGTAATATCTTCCTTTTTGTTTTAATCTAATGGGCCTACCACACGCACGAGCTTCACCACAGTTTTGCCTGCACAGGCCGGTTTGTACACGGAACACGGTGCGTGTAGTTGGTAAAACTGTATCACGCGCCAACCCCACAGCGCGACCTGCGCAATTTTCGACTTGCTTGAAATTTTGCCTGCGCAAGCCCGGCCTGCGCGTACTTGTCTGTGCGTGTGGTTGGGCGTTCAGTGTTCAAGCCTAGGGACACGATATCGAATAGAAAGTATCGATACTGTACTCATGAGTAGTATCGGTAAAAAAGTATCGTACTCGTAAAAGTATCGAAACAAAAGTATCGATACTTCAAAGTATCGAGTACATTTCATAGGGCCTTATCGGAGCCTCTGTGGCCTGATGAGCAACCCCCCCCCCCCTCGGTGTTAAAATAGAAAGAAAAACAATCGAATTTTAATATAGTACGTATAATCAAAAACAAAAAAGGACATGTAAATTCAAAAATTTCTATATTATGTAATGAAAAAATAGCTGTGATTTCTGACACTAAAAAAGTGTTCATTAATATTACATTCATAATTAGGTACAATGTTAATTAAAAATATCGAAATCTTAAACAATTTAAAAGTATGAAACTTTTCAGATTTTTGACGTGACAACGTCTTAAATTAGGTTGCGGCTGGGAGTCACTTATGAAAAAGTGTAACGCTCGGTAACGTTACGATGAGTTTAAGTTTACATGTACAATGTTTTAGTAAACAAAATATATTTCTATAGTTAAAATTTGTGCAATTCTTATTTTCATTCAATTCCTTGTTCCTATTGTGCAATTTAATTATATTCATATCAATAAATATTCTACCGAGAAAAAGACGTTGTCACGTAAAATCTTCGCCCGTAAAACCGACTTTACAGGCAACCATTTTTTCAAATTAAACTTACTTTTCTTGAATTTTAATCATTAAAAAAAATTATACCCACTTACGCTAACTTGAATCTGACACGTAGTTAACGGCTGCCATTGGCATGCTTTACTCAAGATTATAATTATAGAAGAGGTTACGTCCGTCTTTTTTTCAGGTGGTTTCAAATAGGTATACACAGCACAGACAGAATAATAGTGTTACACTTGAATAAATCAAATACAGTCAAGCGAAAAGCACAATAAACGGCGAATCAATCACAGTTCCTAACAATATGGTCGCTAAATAAATAACTATGAAACAAAACAAAGACAGTCACAGATTGGAAAGAATTTGAATATGTCAGTTACTGACTTTATAAAAACGCAATAGGGCATTTGACAGTATTAAAAATAAAGTGCCAAAATAACGAAAAAGATATTAGTTTTCTTATCTATTGTCACGTAACCCAAAACGCTTGGGATTGGCGGAGGCTTAAATGACGTCACACGCAAGTAAACATCCGGTCAAAGTGACATTACATTGTATCGTTTGACGTTTTAATAACAGTCGTGTGACGTCACACACTAGTAAGAAGCCATATTGCCCAGAGAAACGTTATCGCGGCAACTTAAAAATTGAGTTTTTGATTTGGTTATTTATTACGCGCAAGCCTCATTCTTATCGAAATCATTGGCGTGGAAACAATGTTTCCTAATGAAGAAACATTTTTTATGCTATATTTTTCAAGTGTTTGCTATTAAAAAAAAAAACGATAGGATATGCAAATAATATGTGCAAGTAGATAGGTAGTAGGTATTAGGCATAGGTATTTAGTTGCAAAAATTATGTTCTTACCTCTTTCATTTTATTTATCATTCTTTCGTAGGCGTCGTTCTTTTTATTTCGGTCGGAATAATCTTTAGATTTAATTTTCCAGAGTGCAGGCAGAGATTTGTATAAACTAATTAATTCAGACGTGAATTCGCGATTGTACGTACGCAAATCTGCCATTTTTGAGTGACGATGACGAACGACCTCATGAAACGACGAGCGAGCCTCGACACAAAGTACACTCGACTGTGGCTTGAACACTGAACGCCCAACCACACGCACAGACAAGTACGCGCAGACCGGGCTTGCGCAGGCAAAATTTCAAGCAAGTCGAAAAATGCGCAGGCCGCGCTGTGGGGTTGGCGCGTGATACAGTTTTACCAACTACACGCACCGTGTTCCGTGTACAAACCGGCCTGCGCAGGCAAAACTGTGGTGAAGCTCGTGCGTGTGGTAGGCCCATAACTGTGCCGTGTGGTAACGCACAAAGTGTACAGTTTTTTCGTGCGAGATGCTTGCGCAGGCCAAACTGTGGTGAAGCTTGTGCGTGTGGTAAGCGCATAAGGTGGATCCCTATTCAATAGAAAACTAATAATAAATTTACTACAGATTTTAAACAATGACGTAAAATTAAAAATCTTTAAAACATCATAGCAGATAAACAAATGAAAAATTCCGCTTAAAAAGAGCCAATTATAATAAAGTTTACCCTTCTTCTGCAAAGTTGCAATATTGGTTAAAATTCCAAAAAAAATATTTTATTCTATTATATTCTTAGAGCATCTAAGGATTATATTACATTGTTTTCGATATCATATTGACGTCACTATTGTCAAGTCAAAACAGTCATCTGCGTGCCGCGACTTTATGTGAATAAAAGTAGCTTGACGGTGTATAATGCCGGCGTAATAAAGTGTCGGTAAAGAAATTCTCATTCCCCAAAACTCGAAGTTTGTTACGTTATGTCATTTGAAATATTTGAATATTTGTCAATTGATTGGTTGAATTATTATTGACGTTCTTTCTCATTGGTTCATACATCACTCATTTGTAATGTAAAACAAAGTTTGTCGGCGAACGCTAGGGGGCATTAGTAAAATGTCGGCGAAGTATTTTTTTTGTCGTTTTATTCCTTTCGTTTCTCAGTTTCGATTTGACTAGAGGTGATTTGTTCTGTTTTGAACTACGTTCCGTAAAGTCTCGTCATTTTTAGAAAAAAATATTGTTTTGGTGAGTGACAATGTCGCGAGTTCGTAAACACTAATTTTAAGTAAATTATAATGTTGAATAGGCACATGCATTTTTTGTGGTTCGATTTCAGTGTAATATCGTGACGATCAAATGTTTGATTACAGACAGCTACATTTTTGATTACAAAACGTTTTTTCGTATTTGTGATATTATTATTTAGCTTCTTTGGATCCCGATAATTTTAAAGGTACTATACCTAAAATATTTCTAAGGAATTGCAGTATTCTGAATCACACATTTACAAATTATACCGTAAGTTCACGCTAATGAATTGGCGGGAAGAAGCCGGCTCATTTGAAGGTTATATTTCTAGTAGTAAATTATAATCGTGCTTTTTTAACATTACCTAAAGCTTGAAATGACTACTATGGAAGAGGATAGTAGCCCAACCAACGAAGAAATACCAGTGGGGAATCCAGATGAACTTACTAAGAATCCGATTGCGTTAAAAGGTATCACCAATCACATATGAAGTTATTTTTATTATTGTGTTATATTATAGTCATCTTGATATGTTTTATGATCTTTTGCAGAATCTCATGAACAGATGGCAACTCTTGATGTGCTAGTATGTGGCCAGTGTCATTCTGCTTTTCATTTTATTGAAGAATTTAAAGAACACAAAGGTGATAACAATTGCACAGGGAAATCACCTGTTAGAGATAGTGTGAGTAAAATATTGTTTTGTTATAGTTAGCAGTTAATGAATATAAATAAATAGGCAATAAATGGCAAGGTCCTGGTGGAGGCTTACGTGGCCATAAGGAAAATTGATTAACTAACAGAATAAAAATCCAGATTTAATTGATTACGTCCCGGGCTCACATAAGGCACATTAAATGTGTCGTCAAGTGTGAGCTCAATCATCTGGTCTTAGTGGCATGTAGAAAGCAATGCATAATGGTTTACATTTTTTTATATTCATATTAATTTAATTTTTTCATATTAATATATACTATTACTCAATCAATTTTTAAAAGATGCCCAGCATATAGTCATATGTCTTTTTTTGTGAAGTAATCTGATCTAAAAATGATGTTATTTTTTTCGGTAATACATGGTACAGAATGAAAGCAAAGCGCAAGTATGGGCATTTCTTTTGTGGAAGTGTTCATCAGCACGAGATGGCTCTGTCATTAATACTGACAATAGCTGGAAGCTGTATCAACAGTGGTGTCGGATGCCTGAAGCTCAACGCACAGCCTGGATTACGGCTGGATCAAATGTCCAATCCCTTTCTAAATTTGCACATGCTAAAGTTGTAAGTTTTCAACAATTTATTTATTTAGTATTTTACCTGAAATAATAATGCTTACCTCAATCGAAGCTTTAATTGAGATAAGCATTTGTTTCCTGTAGTTTGAAACATTTTAGACTTCGTTTTTACTTCTGTTGACTCGACGGCAGAGAGCCGTGAAAACGCTGTTTCAAAAAAATAGCTATAAATAAAGTAACTATTTTTATAAGCTTTATTATTTCAGGAAAGACTGCTATTAAAAGTACTTGACTGTTATTCAAAGCTTCTTATGGTGACCTGTTTGTTATCCTAATGGTGAGGCAATGGAAGGATATTGAACAAAAATTTCGCCAATGTGATAATACTTTAAAAGCTTTGTTGAAGAACAAAATAATATTAACAATAATTAATGACAACTGACAATGAAATTTAATCATTTACTATGGCATTTCTGTATTATAATCATGAGGTGAATGAAATTTGTAAAAGAACCCATAATTTTCTTAGACCACAGGGGTAAATAAATGGTTTACATTATTTGAATATCTTCCTGAACATATTTTACGCTTGTAATATATTTCAAATGTGTTTGTGGAATACCAGTAACCATGGGCTAAGTTTTGATCCAGAGGATAAGTTAGCCAATTCTTTGAGGCTACTGCAGACCTAACGCTACCTGGGCTTAACCTTAGATTAAGACAAAAAGGGTAGATACGGTACGCTCATACTTGCATCAAACTAAAACTGATCCCACGGCAACGCGAACGGGACGGCGAGATCCGCGTCACTGCATTACCGACCCAAACGAAACAGCACGTTATGTTTCAACGGCAGCGCGCACGAGACGGCGAGATCCGCGTCACTGCACTACCGACCAATCACGCGACCAGTACTCGACGTCACTACCGAATAAGATTCAAAACAAACAGCAATTTTTTATGAAAAAATATATTTTATAGTACTTACCAATGAAAAGTTATGCTGTGGGTTTTATTTTTAGTTCTTGAGCAATTTGAGCACTTTTTTAAAACACACTTAGGCATTGTTTTATCATATAAACACAAAATAATAGCAATATTTTTTTTTGGCGTTCACATGTGCGTCGTTTGCATGTCAAGTTGTGACTAAGGCGATTAGGGTCTTGGACCTCAATTCATGCGGAACACTTTTGTGAGGCTAGTGCCGTATCTACCCTTTTGTTTTAATCTAAGGGCTTAACTGTATATTCGCAACTTTAAGCAGCTGCTTTATCCGACTTCCTATAACAGTTCGAGAGGCAGGTTTCGCGAGACCTCTAACATCTATGAACATATTACTGGATTTCGCAATGGTCCACTCAAAGTAAAGTCAATAGTGGATACAACATCCTGAGCATAGGAGTAAAATAACTGTTGTACGTCTAGATATTTGATAGAATTTGTTTTTATTCATAGAATATGTAGTAAGTTACAGACATTGTCAATGGCCCAAATAGGTTGTTTTGTATTTTTAGGATTCTTTAACGTAATTGATTTTAAAATATGTTTTACTATAACATGGGAACTAAGATGACTCGACATCTCCGCAATACACAGTGACGAAATAACAGACATATGTAAAAGAGTGGTATTGTGTGAGAGCCTGTAAGTAAGGTGTAAATCACCTAAAAATCGCGCTGATTGAGATCCTGAGGGTCTATGGACATTGACATTATTGATATCTGTCCATGAAAACCAATTCGTCCATGCTGTAGAATAGTGTTGCCCAAATGCAAGAAAAAGACAAGACTTAGCCGGTCTTGCGCCAACACACCTGGTCTTGGTCTTGCGCTCCCAGTCTTGGTCTTGGTCTTGCAACTCTTGCAATTACCTATTAGACTATTGCTATTTATTAAAGTTTACTTTAGATCTTAGAAAAACGTATTAGAATTGGAACATTGTGAGCTTGAATTAACATAGCCATAGTAAAGACCAATCAGATTAATAAATGTCTGATGATTTGATAAGAAATTCGAAAAATCAACTGCCACATGGTTATCAACTGAGCTATATACGGTTTTCCATAAGTAGGTGGGTACGCTTTTTATATTATTTTATTAGTTTTGTAGATTTTTTTTACATGTTCAAGTATATTTAAAAGTGGCTACAATATTAATTTATGAAACGGACCACTTTTTTGCTATTTTTTCTTGTAAAAACTTTCGAAATTTAAGAAATATTTTGACTAAATGTAAAATAATAGTACCTTAGTAATTAGTTTAAACCCATATAATCAATATTATAATATATAGTTACTAGAATAAATTATTATGACATCTACTCCCTACCTTACCATTATCTAATCTTATTACTACTTGCGTGATCAGTATAATGTATTCGTTTCCATTCTAAGCACTCTGAAACTTATTTATTCTTTGGAACACCTGTACTCTAAAATTCGATAATCGAAGTTCGTGTCGTACCGTCTCGCTCGCTCATATATTAAATAGTATTAGCGTGAGTGGGACGGCACGACACGAAATTAGAATTTTGCATGAGTATACCTAAGCCCTGTGGCGGCAATCAAATTAGTGTCTAATGTTGTGATTTCGGCGCGGCGGCAACGATTGTTGTATGTGATTTCAATAGAAGCCGCCGGCGCGTGTAACATCACCATGTACTTCCGAAAAGCGGCAAATTTCTTTGAGAAGTCAGTACAAAACCTTTGATGCCGCATTATCAAAGTGCCGATGTTAAAACAAAACTATGCATGCACTCTGTAGTACAGTCAATCTGTAGGTTGAGTGGTGAAAAAAAAAACCTAAAGGGTAAGTCTTGTTTTTTCTGTTGCCAAATGACGTCAGTAAGCCACCTTGGCGATGGGCATGTTCAACTCGTAGGCGTTTTTTGAAAAACTCAAAAAAAACGTCAAAAATTTTTTGAAACGCATTTTTCTTATTTTATATGCATTTTAGAAACTTTTTTTTCGGCCATAATGGTAGAGGGCATTGAGTACTACAATTTATGTCGTTGTTGCAATCTCGTACAACAAAAAATGCGCATTGTAGGTGGCGCTAAAGTCTCAAAAAAAGTGTTTTTTCACTTTTTCACCCTGAAAATATCATTTTAATGGAAAACTTTAAATGGCAAAGTTGTTTCGTACATAATTACCAACAACTTTCGTATAAACATTTTTTTTGTATTACTTACCGTTTTCAAGTTATAAATTGCGCAGGTATGAAAAATCCAATAGAGCGGTTTTGGGCAGTACAAGTACACATTTGCAGTGCACATTTCAATGTACGTTTTTACTATTTTTTTTTCAATCATGAAAAAAATAAAAATAAAACTATTTTTTTTATGTTTTTTTTTTGTTTTTCAATCATGAAAAAAAATAAAAAATAGTAAAACGTACATTGAAATGTGCACTGCAAATGTGTACTTGAACTGCCCAAAACCGCTCTATTGGTTTTTTCATACCAGCGCAATTTATAACTTGAAAACGGTAAGTAATACAAAAAAATTGTTTATACAAAAGTTGTTGGTAATTATGTACGAAACAACTTTGCCATTTAAAGTTTTCCATTAAAATGATATTTTCAGGGCGAAAAAGTGAAAAAACACTTTTTTGAGACTTTAGCGCCACCTACAATGCGCATTTTTTGTTGTACGAGATTGCAACAATGACACAAATTGTAGCACTCAACGCCCTCTACCATTATGGTCGAAAAAAAAGTTTCTAAAATGCATACAAAACAAGAAAAATGCGTTTCAAAAAATTTTTGACGTTTTTTTTGAGTTTTTCAAAAAACGCTTACGAGTTGAACATGCCCATCGCCAAGGTGGCTTACTGACGTCATTTGGCAACAGAAAAAACAAGACTTACCCTTTAGGTTTTTTTTTCACTGCAACGATATTTTTTTCGACAGATTGACTGTACTACTGTTTGATTGCAATGGATATTTTTTATTCGCTACGTATGTTTATGGTATTGGTCGTAATGCGCATAGGTCCAGTTTTTCATATTCTTTGAGACAGGTTTTTGCGTCTCATAGAATTCCTAAGCGTACCTATACAGCGAATTGTTATACCTAACTACTCCGTGAAATAGCGCTAAGTCCTAGCTGCAAGACGCAAGAGTCTTGTCGGATTAGTCTTGTTCTTGCTCAAGTCTTGCACGATCAGTCTTGGTCTTGGTCTTGCTAAAAATACGCGGTCTTGTTCTTGGTCTTGGTCTTGCAAAAATGCAAGAACAAGACCAAGACTGAATTTGGGCAACACTACTGTAGAATATGTTTTTTAAGTTGAATTACTCCAAGAACTTTTAATAAGATTTGATTGCTATTCCATTCTTTTACTTCTTCGCCCCACCCCCACATTTCCAAACTTCGAGAGTTAGATTGTTGACATTCAGTTGTGGCAGACGTGTTGATGTGTCTATTAAATTATGCTGAGGCTCTGAGATCGGCTCGCCAAAATAGTTTCTGCCATCGAAGAGCGACTATTATGAACACGCCTGTCGACTGGTTCAGATAGGACACAAGATTTTGGCTATTAGAAACAGTTGCAAGATGGTAATTGGATGTTACACTGAATGGGTTGTAAAAGAGAGCTTTGATATCTTGCAAGTCCAGAGACACATAATTGCAAACTATATGAGCTCTCTCCGAAGCAAAGAGGTCGATCGTTGGAAGCCCCCATTCTGGAATATTATTATTATTGTCCCCGGTAATATATTCCATTCCGGTGGAAAGTGAGATGGCGAGATAGGTGATCGGCATGCTTGTTGTATCTGCCCGGAATATAGTGAATGTGACACATTTTGATGTTGATCTAGAAGTGCCAACAATTGATAGGTTCCTTCCATCGACAGTGCTGGAGATTTGGTTCCCCTCACCTTTCCGTGATGACCTACAACAGTTTTGTTGTCGCACTATATTAGAATGGAGCTGCTGTGACTTAACCTGTTGGCTATGTATTATTGCATCTGGAATGGTTGACATCTCATTTTGGTTGCATTTGAGGTTTTGTTCCTGAGGCAACCCTTGTCTACTCAGGGGAATGTTGTCGAGCTGAGCACCTCTGCTGAGAGTTATTGATTTTTATAGTTTGACACACTATCCCCACTTTTTGAAGAAGCACAAGATTCTGGGTTACTATTAGTAGATCATCTAGGTATGAAAGAATGCATACATTTATTTGTCGCAGGATTTCGACCACCCAATTGATAAGAATCGAAAAGGTTTTGGGAGCTGTGCTAAATCCGAATGGTAGACAGGTCATTTCTAGGAGTTATCCATTGTAATTCAAGCTGAGAAAACGCCTGTGTGCTCTTGCAACTTCGAAGTGGAAAAAAGGTTGACTCAAGTCTAGTTCGTACATCTGTCAATCTTGCCTCCGTAGAAAATCGCGAACGCGATGAATATTGACAAGGTGAAAATTTTTGCTCTCACGAATTTGTTTAAGGCTTTCAGCTTGAATATTAGGCGGAAAAATCCATCGATTTTTTGTATGAGGAATAGGGTTAGAATGAAACTGTGACTGGGCTGTAATATACCGTATCTATACCGTTGAAACTTCTGCAGAGTTGAGGTACAGATGCACTGATTTATTTATTTATTGACGTTTCGCATTTTTTACAGGGTGCGTCGTCTGAATAATGATTTTATTTAAATTTATAATCATACAGACGAGTCAGACATTATTCAGGCATTAAATAAATAAATCAGTGCATCTATACTGTTGAATTTTGTTTTATTTAATGAGTGGTGTGCGTGAAAACCTAAAAAACAAACATGCTTTTAATATTCCTTGAGCTTTAATTTTTTTAATAATTGCTGTTATCTCTACTGCCATCCAGTGCAACAGCGGCTTGTTGTTTGGAAAGTATAAGGGAAGATTTTAGACAAATGATATGCGATACCCTTCTATAATTTTTAAGGTTAATGCTGGAGCCCCCATTTTTCTCCACCAGTCGCAATGATGGGCTATCTGACCGGCGTGAAATGACCTCTAGTTATTGATCAGAATTTTTGGTTCACACGAGCGGCTATAATAGTCTTGTACCTACCTCTATGCGCCCCGTGAGGCCTCGAGCCTCGGTATTGAAATAAATAAATAAATAAATATTTCCAACACTTACACCATTTAGCCATTTTTTTTTGTTGACGATGGAAAATGCATTTACGCACCGTACCGCGCCCTGGCTGGGCGCGTACCCTCCTACGCCCATATGGGGGCGTTTCAGGATCGGCGCACCTTAGTGTGCGCCACTTCACTGGGACGCCCCCGGGCTGGCCCGACCCAACGAGTGGACTGGGCGACACGCCTCTGGGGGATTGCGATAGGTTACTAGGCAATCCCCAGACTATGCCGAATGGCACCAAGGGCACGCGGCGGCCAAACCGCGCCCAAACCACCATAGGGACGACGAAGACCGGCAGTCACAGCTGCCAGCCTTCTTCGGCCCACCCGTCTACGTCGGAGGGGAGCGGCTAGAGCATGCTCCTCCCGCTGCCTCCTTGTGTGCCCCATCACAACTTCGCAGAAGGAGGCTGCAGCCTTCCATGCCCTCTCATTGCCAAGCATGGCTCGAAACATACTTGGCAATGAGAGCGGCCCTCCGTCGAGCGTCGCCATCAACGTGCGGCGCTCGTTTCGCCAGGCCACGCACACGATCAGCGTGTGCTCGGCCGTGTCGTCAGGGGAGGCGCAGTGATGACACCGCGGCAACTCCTCCCGACGGGCGACACGGTGCAGGTAGTGGCCGAAACACCCATGTCCGGTCAGTACCTGCACCAGGGGGTAGGTGAGGCTGCCCCACTGGCGCCCTACCCACTCATCCAACACCGGACGGATCGCCTTGATCGTCCGGTAGCTACACCAATTAGCCTAGCCCTTAAAGTAAGCACTGTAAGGCTTGTGTTATGGGATACTAGGGTAACGGATAGAACACATATACAGTACATATTATTATATAAGTATATTTTATATAGAAATACATATTAAACTTCCATGACTGGAGTACAAATGCTCGTATTCATCACACAAACATCTGCCCCCACCGGGATTCGAACCCGGGACCTCTCCAGTCGGCGACACCATGTAACCCGGCGTACAAACCACTCGGTCACGGAGGTCGTCGTCGAAATGAACCGTTATTGTGCCCAATGCTGTTTGTATTATCTAAGTTCATATGATAGTACCCACCCCTTGAGGGTGGCACTATATTATGCATAGGGATGCCTGAAGCATAGTATGGACATCGATCTACACTTATTGGAATATTTTTCTTATTGTCCGCCTCTCTTGTAGGTGGACGAGAAGTTTTACAATACCTCTTTAAACATTTTCAGATTTAAGAGGCCAAAAGATCTAACGTACGCCCCCAGCTTTTCCTATTACCGTTGAAGAGGCATTGGTTTCAAAAATATCAGAAATAGGAGGATTTGGCTTATTGATATTTTAAAAGCCGGGTCTTTAACTTGTTTAATTATGGCATCCCCTCTTACTTCTACAATTCCGGATCTATGGCCTCATACAAGTTGTAAATTATTAGAAGTTTTAAGAAATTCACCGTTAGCAAATAACTCCTCAATTTTGTCACCTAAATGATCTTAATTCCCGTTACCTGAATAAGCTCATGTAAGTAAATTACGAATACTTTATTGTAGGGATTCGCTTTGTTTAAGAAAGCATAAAGTTAAAGCTGCATAAGCTTTATCAGCTTTTGCGGACTGTGTGTTTATATCATAGGGCTCTATTTCAGGATTACAATCGAGATTTATAAAACTCGCGACCAGGATCAGGACGCATTACCGAAACGTTGAATTTTGCTAAGCATTTTAATAAAATTTTCGGGTGTCTTAGAAACAGAAAGTTTCGTCAGCTTAGTCTCAATATCGAATGTGAATTTCAAGAAGTTGCCAGAATATCTTATATTTGTTCATTATTAACAATCTGACTATAAATATCTCCACTTTTTGCTTAACATACAAACTTGTGGTCTGCATACATAATTGTCTGCATACATTGGGAGGTTGAGTTAAAAGATTGCGTAACTAACCTATCTCCTCGGTTACCTGATTTATTTTGGCATGCTTCCCCTTTTACTTTTCTTATGACGGTGACGACGAGACCTCTTACGGAGCCCGAAGAGCTCAAACTAGAGCTGCTAGAAGAACTACTGCTACCACGTCCCCGCTTGCGGTGCTCACAACATGACCCAGCTTCAGATGGCACTTCTACAACTGATACATTAACAGTACTGATACTTATAATTTTTATTTTTAATCATGTAGCTGCTCGATGTTGTAACTTAAAGAAAATATTACTAGAAAAAAATTCACGCGGACCAAGCAGCAGAAGGGACTCGAACCCGCACCCTTCGCTGTCCGGGCGAATGCACTGATCAACTGAGTACTTATACTGTAAATAACACAACATTATAATAACGTTTCTATAACCGTGGCTTATAATTGTCAATTAATGAGAAATCATCGTATCTCGATTGTCAAACTTTCAGGTGTATTCTGGTGGATTCCAAAACAAAACTTTCATACAAACCCGGTTCTAGCAATAACGGATAGAATAAAGAAATAATCTTCCAATTTGGTGCGGTCTTTAAAATATTATGTGGGCACATACATTTTGTTTTTATCTTTTAATATTCTTTGAGCTTTCATTTCTATAGATTATGAGCCGCATCTTTAAAAGATCAACTAAGTACAAGGACCGTATTAATTTAAGTTTTTCGAAAGGAAAACTCATTTAACTATTTTATAACATACATTCAGATTATTATATTTCCTTCACCATCTCTCATAGTTTTGAAATAACTCTCCCTTTTATTTCGATCTAATTTGCAATAAAATAATAATCTTGATAATTTATCGGTGTTGTTAAACCGTGTTGATGCTGCGCGGAAAAGAACGCCAATGAACAATGTGGCTGGCGCGCTTTCACTAACAAGAAATCTAAGATGGCGCCACTGCCCGTCGATTCAACGGAAGTTCGTCGACCAGAAATGAAAAAGAGGCCAACAATGGTTAAAACTACGGGAAACAGAAATGCCTACCTGCGTTATAAGCTTCGAATAATGTCCAAGTACTTTTAATAATTATTTAAGTAAAATCCCTCTTAATTTTAATGTCAAACATTTTATCGTAATTAAAATAATGTAATACCGCTTTTGTAATTTGAATAGATGGAACTGAAAACTGAAGATCAACTTGTACCAGTGCAAACTCCTGTACACCAATCACCTGACACAAAGCGACGTGGAAGACCTAAGAAACAAACAAAATCTGTAAGTAAATGAGCTGTTAAGTAATTCATTTTGCTGCTGTATAAATTAGATTTTAAAACATAAAAAATAATACTTGTTTATTTTTATACTCTTTGATTTATGCATTTTTTTATTCACTGTTAAAATGTTACACCAATACAAATTTAAGTTTGCCATAGAGTAAAATTAATATTTAGTATTTTAATTATTTTATTGCAGCTTGAAGATGATTTACAACCTTCTGGTGAAGAAAGTGATGGCTTGATTAAAACTACTCCACAGATTAAAACTACACCTGTTATAAATAAACCACCTGTGTCAATAATTAAAAAGGTAATAATAACAATATGTAAGCTCTTAATTTTAACATACAAGGATTTTTATCCAGACTAGTAGGAATTGGAGTATTTTTTTTAGTAGGTAGAAAGTTCCTTTTATATTTTTTCTTTCATGATTTGAAAATAAGATCAGATTGATGTTTTTGGAGTTCAATAATAAAAGTAAGATTCTTGTATGTTCAGGGACCTCTTATAGATTAAAATATGTCTCAAAGAGCAGTTTTGTAAGGACGATTAGGGCGCTATGGACAAGAATTCGGTCCTTCGAGTGATGCTCATTACACTCATGGCGTGATTATACTTGGTAATTGAATTCGGGTATTCGGGTAAACTACTAAGTTTAAGTGAACGGAGTCGAGTATGCCCGTATTCGGGTAGTTTTCGTTATACCCGCACCGTTTTCCAGCTCGTATTCCAGTGTAAATATTGCTTTGAGTGCCCGAAAGACATTACTCGATAATTTCTTTCGTGCACCCGACTAAGGGATAAAACCCAAGTGTAATTGAGCCATCACAATAGAGACGTGTGTTACCATCCGTTCGGATTAGTCCGGACATGTTCGGACTTTGTCCGGATATTTAAATTGTTCGATTTTTTTAAATTACATTGGAAATGAATTATAAAAGTACATATTGATTTAAATACCATACCATTGTAACGGTACCATTTAAGTGAGTAATGGTACCATTTTGTGACTAAAAGGTCCGGACTTTTTTCAAAATGTCAGGATTTTAGTTAGGAGTTTTGAAATTCCTAAATGGTAACCCTAGACGTGTGACACTTTTGCTTCCATCATTTTGAGCGTAATTGGGAGTGTACTTGTTATAATTGTTCGTCAATATGTGGTGGTATTTCCCAAGGATAAGGACGCTATGGACAGGGAGTCTGTTCGCAACGCCCAGGAGCGCGTGCCACCCGAGGAGCGCATCGCTCGGCGCACAGAGCGCGAGGGCGGCGACCCTTCCGAAGCGGGCGAGTACGTGGTCGAGAAGATACTCGCCAAGCGGTTCAACCCGCGCCGCAAGCTCTACGAATACCTGCTCAAGTGGGAGGGATACCCGCAGTTAGTATACTTACTTTTAAAAGCCGCGTTGACATGCACAAAGGCTCCTTTTTTTTAAATAAATAAATATTTCCAACACACACACACCAATTAGCTTAGCCACAAAGTAAGCACTATAAAGGTTGGGTTATGGGATACTAGGGTAACGGATAGAATACATATACTGTACAATTTTACATATATATTTATATAGAAATACATATTAAAAATCATGACAATCCATGAATGGAGTAAAATACTCGTATTCATCACACAAACATCTGCCCCCACCGGGATTTGAACCCGGGACCTCTCGAGTCGGCGACACCATGAAACCCGGCATACAAACCACTCGGCCACGGAGGTCGTCACTTTACAGCCGCTATTGAGTTTGAATTGCACTATCCTATTAATATTATAAACTAGATGACCTGATGTACCTCATATCACCTATCCTAACGACATTGAAAACTCCTTTCGTTAAAATGGCTAAAAAGTCTAACGTTTGACAGGAAAGTAAGTAAAACAGTTTTTATGGGAAATCTTCCTCGCAACTTTTCCATATTTCTTAACGTTTAAACCGGCTCAGCTGTTCTCGAGTTTTAGCTAAACAAACGAACAGCAATTGATTTTTATATATATAGATTAGCTTCCGGTCGCAACTTCGTCCGCATAGTAAGTTTTATCAAAAAAAAAACCGATGTCACTTTTGTTTGCTAAAACAAGACAGAGACAACACAACTTTAGTCCGCGTTTTGGAATAATCCGCTAAATGTTAGTATCAGTTTCATTCTTGATATAGCTAATATAATTTAATGAAAGGTTCCCGCTATATTCTATGCAGTTTATTAGTTAGCATAGAATAAAAAATGAGGCCACCATTATATAAGTAATTATATTTTATTACCTTAGCATTAAATCTCACTGGTCATAATGATGCAAAACAGGTGCAATAATAGCCTTTCTGGCACATAATATTCTGCATATTAATGTAGACTTTATTGACAGTGAACAAAACACTTGGGAACCAGTTGAAAACATGGAGACTTGCAAACATCTTCTGGAGGCATTCGAGAAACAACTGGCTCGTCAGAAGGAGCTCAAGGCATTGCGTGCTCAGCAACAACAACAACAACATCCAGTACAGGTGTGTAGTGAAATAATAATAATAATACTAATATTTTATTTCAGATCTAGTTCCATAGAAATGTTAGTAACAATCAAAACTTAAAAACTATGTTAGTACATTTTAAAACATAATGTTATTTCATATAAATACCCTCTGAGGCACCGGTCACATGGTATATGTACCCAGTGCATCAGAATGGCACTCTCCAGTATTTTCCCGATATCGTCAATAATACTATTATTGTAATACTGAAGTTCGGGGGTTGAAATGAAATATAAAATTCTCGTGTCACAGTTTTTGTAAAAGAACTCCTCTGTAATGGCTTGATTTTGATTTCATTTAGCCAATAAAAAATATTTTTCAGGTCAAACAAATCAACACTCCCTTACCACACGTCATCAAGCAAGCTGTAAAGACAGTCGATAGTCCTTCATTGACTCCAACAGGGTAAGAATGATGAAATAATATTCAGTATCCCAAACTGCTAAGTATGGTTTTGTAGAGTTATATTCGGTTAATACATACATAATTATTTATATGCACACAAAACATCTCATTGTAAAATCAATGAGTTAACTTTTTATAATATCATCACTAGTAATTAGCGTAAAGAAATGAGTTGATTATCTATTAATATAATATTTAAGACTAGCGGCCGTCCGCGACTTCGTACGCGTGGAGTTAGTTATAAATAGAGGTTCACTGCTCGTTCCCCGTAGCCTATATGTTGACCCGACTTCTTAATAATATTCGTGCCAAAGGACATTGGCCAAATCATATTTGGATCAAAGTTGAACGTCTAAAATAGACATTTTTACTAATATTATTAAATAAATAAAAACAGTTTTTACAAGTTGTAATTGACACAAATAAAAGCCGAGTCAAATAAAATAATAAAAAAACGCTGCATTGACATTCATACTAACTGGTCCTATTTTTTAAATAATCTTGGCACTCCTTATTATTGAAAATACAGCATTAAAAATCAAGTTTTTAGTCTATAATCTCTATTTATTGTAATAGATTATTGACTTTGTTATTATTTTATTTTTAAATTGGTGATTTTGTTAAAAAAGTTGTGCCAAGTTTGTTTACCAAATGCCGCCGCCGCCTGCTGTACACAAAGCACACGACGGGCAGAGGCGGTCAGTTCAGGACGTTCGTTCTAGTGAAAATAGTCCATACTAAAAAGCGCGTGGCGCGGACTGAGCTAGCCGCTCCGCGCCGCCGTCTGCGTTACTGCATATAAACTGGTTTGTATGATCCACGGCGGGCAGCCGCTGACATGCCGCGCCGCCACTGCCCGCCGGGCACCTGCGGCTCGGTCTTTTTGCCCTCTGTGTGCGTTTGAAGTATAGGATTTACTTTGTGCTATTATTCGCGGCGAAATTGACCGGACCGCCCCGCCCCGTCGTCTGTAAAGCGCCTTACGGGAAAATACCTCTCTCGCACTGCGGTAGTAGGTACCCACCTAGCCGGATCTTTGTAGAGCGACCATACAGAATGGTAGGGTGGTTTGGTAGTAATATCAAATGGCTTCTACTACAGTTTGAATTTATCTGTGATATTGGTTTAATTGTTGTGATTTTTTGCACAAATGTAATACAGATACGTAATAAAAATGTCAAAATAACGTAACCAATAAATGTTGAGAACAAAATATCTTTTTTCCTCGGCTTTCTTTAGTCGTGATTCTTACATATAAACTTTTTGGCTTCGGTATTGATTGTAGATCACACCCCAAGTATTCTTTTAAAAAGATATTGAATGTACAGTTTTTAACTTTCGTACCATTTTATTATATGTATGGATAATATCGAGAATATAATATTTTTTCAATGTGGCAGTCGTTTACAACGCACGAGCAAAGTTCGCGCCTTAGATCAAGTGAAGGCTTGGTGCGGCGCCGAAGACGAGCCGCCCGCCAAAAAAATAAAAAAGGAAGCTTCCTCGGAAGACGATACCTACTCGGATGCAGATTCTACTAAAGGTAATTTTACTTATTTATCTCTTTAACAAAATGTATAAATAGCAAGCTTTAATTTAATGTATAACAATTTGATGAAGGTGTGATATAAAGAATAAAAAAAAAATGAAATAAGATATGACTTATCTAGATTATTGGTTTGAGAGAACTATTTATAGTAGGTATAAAGGAAGGCGTTTGAACGTTTGAACAAATAATGCAATTTTATAGATGAGTCACCAATGATGATTACAGCTGAAAAGAAAGTAGTGAATGGGCAGTCTTCACCAAAATCAGCGATTGATCCAGATCTAGTAAAATCATTGGGTCTCAGCGGAAAAGGAATGCCTAATATCAAAGGAGTCATAAAAGTCGACCCTAAGCATATGCCGAATCTATCAACTGGTAATTATAAGTATTGCTTTGCTATATGTATCTAGTTCAATAATATAATAATAATACTTCCAACACTCACACCAATTAGCCTAGCCCCAAAATAAGCACTGTAGGCTTGTGCTATGGGATACTAGGGTAATTAATAGAATATATACGGATCACAGAACTTATAATAAGAGGTTAGAAATGCTATGTTCGCCAAAAGCGCGAGCCGCCTATCTGGCTAAAAAGCCAGATATTCGATTTGCCGGGCTCAGTCCGAAATTAACGGCCGCCGTGAGAACTGTAGTTGAAAAATGGACTATTGTAGCATTTCTAACTGTGGAAATTGTTCAGGAAAAGGTAGTAGTACTTCTAAAGGGATTACGTTTCACTAGTGAGTACATTTATTCAAAATATAAAATATCAGAGACAGCCCAACTGTTGCTACATTCAAAAAACGGTTGAAGGAACACTATCTATCCTCTTGAATCGCTGTTTCTGAACTTTATTGCTTCTCCTTTTTAACACTTATATATTTTATTTAAGTATAAATGTTTATTTGTACATCTATATAGATATATATGTAGGTTTTGTTTATGTAAGTATTGCATTTTGTTATTTATATTCAGGAGGCACACACTGACGGATTTTTTTTTATATGTTCTTTCCTTTCGCGGGCCTGCTGGAAGAAATTTCAACATGAAATAAGCAGTGCCCTTGTACAAATTTCTTGTTCTTTTTATCTGTTTTATTGTGTGTGTACTAAATTCAAAGACTTTATATAATACCTAGACTGTGCACCATCGCGTTAAAAACGGTCCGGGCGAGAGGGCTTCCAATGGTAGTGTGTTCCTTTCTAATGAATAATGACCATATTCAAGCGTAACGCGGGACAAAATTTGTTATTAGTATTTGTTATTTAATATAGCTTGTAAAGAGGATTGTGTTTAGTATATGCTACTATCTAAACATGTAAGTAATTTGTGATTATGAGTTAAAATAAAAACTACATGGCTTATTTTTTAACTTGCTAAGTGCATCATACAAAGACTTAGTGTAATAAAAAATTACACTAAGTCTTTGTATGATGACAAATTCCCACGACGCGACCTGTAAAGGCTGCGGAACGTCAATAAATAAATAAAGTTTCGTGCATTAACCCGTGAAAAACTAGTTTTATTTAATGAGTGATGTGCGTGAAAACCTAAGAAACAATAATGTATCATCAGACTTACCATTAATTTAACATAAATGCCAATACCTGATTTTGGCACCTTTTTTTTGCTGTTACATCGACAAAAACTTATTATTTTACGTAATTTAGACTATGTAGTGTTAGTTAATATGAAAAACCTCATCTATGCATATACCTCTAAACGCAGACCAAACGAAGTTATGTAGGTTTTAAAAATAATAATACATAGGTACTATGAACTGTTTCATTCGGTATTTAAACTAGCACGCGTAGCTTGGCTTGGCCTGAGATTAGATAAAGAGGGTGGAATTTTGTAATGCCAGCCACCCTTCCCTTCAGGGAAAGTACTTTTAAAAGTATGTTTATTAAGGTAAGGGGGACCCACATATTGTGAGGTAGATAAATCGGTCAATGCCAAATCAAATTCATCAAATTCTGGACGGAAAAAAGACAATCATTTGTTTACAATATTTTTATTAAAATTGGTTTTTTTTATACATTGCTAAATAATATAGTTTTGCGCAGTTTTTGTCGCAATGTAGCCTTATGTCCTACGTGCTCAAGGGTTAAGGACTTCCCGTAGCTTCTAAGTCTTATTTAAAATGTCTTATTCATATTTAAAATGCGCACTGCAAACAACTGATGACTTAGAAATTTTTCCAGACACTGCATTTTCCCACATCAATTTCTGCTTTTCGTTCTTCGGAAATCTACACAATACAAGAAAAAAAATTTTTTTTTTTACTATTTTTGTGAGGAGCTCGATGGCGCAGGTGGTTAGCGCGTTCGGCTGCGATGGTAGAAGTTAAGCAACTTTCGCAATGGTCAGTCATTGGATGGGTGACCAAAAACATCTATCTCGAGTTCCTCCGTGTTTCGGAAGGCACGCATCTGCAGTCGTTAGCACCCGCCAATCCGCACTGGACCCGCCTGGTGGGTCATGGCCCAATCTCCCTATTCCATCCATAGGGAAGGCCTGTGCCCCAGCATTGGGGACATTAATAGGCTGATGATGATGATGATACGAATCTAAAAACGCTCTAAAAAGTACCTACGAAACAAGGAAGTAACCGCGCCCGCATTATTTAATAATTGATTCATTAAATGCACACAACTCATGTTAACAAAAAAAATCTCATCTACCTCCAAAATTCATGGTTCACCTAATGAATATGATTGTAAGTTTTACTTACCCGTGAAAAGAAAAAGGGCTACCGGGATAAGATTCATTGTAGCACCCTGTTACACAACACGAGTTCACCATTTTAAAAAAATACACTTTATTAAGCAAATTTACAATATTTCAAATCAAATTGTCATCAAGTGTCATCATTGTCATTGTCATCAAGTGAACAAATCACCATCTTACATTCAGTATTACCAGGCTCGACTAATTAAATACTACTTTTACTCTGTATATAGATTTATTTTAAAAATATCAATGATTATTTTATTATTTATAGGAACTGTAGAAATGTTTAAATACGTTTCATAGTTTACGAATAGTTCGTATCGGTAATTAATCAGTAAATCACAAATAGAAAAGGATGACATTTAGAGGTTTTCCTAGGCCATCTCAAGGTACTTCTCGGGGTGTTTTATAGCCCTAACCTTCCACATTGATTATTTTTCAAAATTTGAGAACTTATTACTAGTTATAATTTTTATTATTTTAAAGCATGTAACTGCTTGATGTTTAAATCTAAAGAAAATATAACTAGAAAAAATTCCACGCGGACCAGGCAGCAGACGGGACTCGAACCCGCACCCTTCGCAATCCGGGCGAATGCACTGACCAATTATGCTACCGCGGCCCTCACGGACCGCGTCGAAATTCCCTCTAGCTATTCTTAAGCTGCAAGGCAGCGCCATCTCTTCGCATTATAGGTAAACCCACAATGTCAAATGAATACTTTTACAAGTATTAAACATTTGAAAGAAGAAATAGCAATTATAGTTATAATTTTTATTATTTTAAAGCATGTAACTGCTTGATGTTTAAATCTAAAGAAAATATAACTAGAAAAAATTCCACGCGGACCAGGCAGCAGACGGGACTCGAACCCGCACCCTTCGCAATCCGGGCGAATGCACTGACCAATTATGCTACCGCGGCCCTCACGGACCGCGTCGAAATTCCCTCTAGCTATTCTTAAGCTGCAAGGCAGCGCCATCTCTTCGCATTATAGGTAAACCCACAATGTCAAATGAATACTTTTACAAGTATTAAACATTTGAAAGAAGAAATAGCAATTATAGTTATAATTTTTATTATTTTAAAGCATGTAACTGCTTGATGTTTAAATCTAAAGAAAATATAACTAGAAAAAATTCCTTTAGATTTAAACATCAAGCAGTTACATGCTTTAAAATAATAAAAATTATAACTATAATTGCTATTTCTTCTTTCAAATGTTTAATACTTGTAAAAGTATTCATTTGACATTGTGGGTTTACCTATAATGCGAAGAGATGGCGCTGCCTTGCAGCTTAAGAATAGCTAGAGGGAATTTCGACGCGGTCCGTGAGGGCCGCGGTAGCATAATTGGTCAGTGCATTCGCCCGGATTGCGAAGGGTGCGGGTTCGAGTCCCGTCTGCTGCCTGGTCCGCGTGGAATTTTTTCTAGTTATATTTTCTTTAGATTTAAACATCAAGCAGTTACATGCTTTAAAATAATAAAAAAATTATAACTATAATTGCTATTTCTTCTTTCAAATGTTTAATACTTGTAAAAGTATTCATTTGACATTGTGGGTTTACCTATAATGCGAAGAGATGGCGCTGCCTTGCAGCTTAAGAATAGCTAGAGGGAATTTCGACGCGGTCCGTGAGGGCCGCGGTAGCATAATTGGTCAGTGCATTCGCCCGGATTGCGAAGGGTGCGGGTTCGAGTCCCGTCTGCTGCCTGGTCCGCGTGGAATTTTTTCTAGTTATATTTTCTTTAGATTTAAACATCAAGCAGTTACATGCTTTAAAATAATAAAAATTATAACTATAATTGCTATTTCTTCTTTCAAATGTTTAATACTTGTAAAAGTATTCATTTGACATTGTGGGTTTACCTATAATGCGAAGAGATGGCGCTGCCTTGCAGCTTAAGAATAGCTAGAGGGAATTTCGACGCGGTCCGTGAGGGCCGCGGTAGCATAATTGGTCAGTGCATTCGCCCGGATTGCGAAGGGTGCGGGTTCGAGTCCCGTCTGCTGCCTGGTCCGCGTGGAATTTTTTCTAGTTATATTTTCTTTAGATTTAAACATCAAGCAGTTACATGCTTTAAAATAATAAAAATTATAACTATAATTGCTATTTCTTCTTTCAAATGTTTAATACTTGTAAAAGTATTCATTTGACATTGTGGGTTTACCTATAATGCGAAGAGATGGCGCTGCCTTGCAGCTTAAGAATAGCTAGAGGGAATTTCGACGCGGTCCGTGAGGGCCGCGGTAGCATAATTGGTCAGTGCATTCGCCCGGATTGCGAAGGGTGCGGGTTCGAGTCCCGTCTGCTGCCTGGTCCGCGTGGAATTTTTTCTAGTTATATTTTCTTTAGATTTAAACTTATTACTACTTTTAATTTGGACATAGCCGATTGCATTATCGCCATAAGATTTGTAGAAGCCGCTGAATAAAATACGAAGTTTAACAACTACGATTTTTACATACAGTAGTAATTTAGTCCCTTTCATTTCTACACTTAAAAACTCTCCACTTTGGACAAAAAAAGTTATAACCATGTCAACGCTAACTCTTGGAAAATTCCTGGAGTCTGCTTTGATAAACGCAACTTCCATTTTTATTAAATGTAAAAGAACGCAATAAATATTCCAATAAAATAATATTTACTTTAACAACCATAACCTCAAAGAAATTGTCATAACAGGAGTGACGTCACTAAACGCTGATTTGTGTTTTAAAATACGTTCCGTTTCAAGTATTTTTAATTCGTAATAATTGTTAAAAAACAACATTATGTAAAATAAAAACGTTGCAGTGGCATTTCTTTTATATTTTTTTAACATTTTAATCATAAAATTTTCATAAATATTATGTATGCATCTTCCCTATTATGGGTGATTTTAACACTTGCTTGCTGAACACGAACTCGATAATCACGACTTTGTTAAATTGTGGATTCCACCAATCTCACTATTCTGCCTTCTTCTTTAACGCATCACTTTCCTGGTTGTCAGCCATCCTTGCTAGATCTTGTCGTAGTGTCCTCCACCGATTTTGTTAACTCCCACGGTCAGTTGTCTGCTGAAGCCTTCTCCTACCATGATCTCCGTTACCTTACCTATAAAATTCGTTGTCCCAAACCCCGAGTGGTCATGTAACGGAACTTTAAAAACTTGGACGATATCAGCTACATGACTGATCTTAATAGTATTGATTGGGATGTGGTATTTAACGCCTCAACTATTGATGGGAAGATAGAGATATTTAACTCGATTCTTATCGAAGTATTCGATAAGTATGCGCCTCTGCGTCCTGTGCAGCTGAAACATCTTCCTGCTCCCTGGCTAACACCAGATATAAAGGCCTTGATGTCCAAGCGTAATGAAGCAAAGTTGCGATACAAAAAGAATCCTTGTGATGCTACACATCTTAAATACAAGGAGCTCTGTAAGCGATGCAGCAGGATTTGCAGTGATGCACAACGAAAACACATGATGGCTCTGTATCAAACGGTGATCCTGCGAAGGTGTGGTCATTCCTCAAATCACTTGGTATTGGTAAGGTTAATTCATCTTCACCTTTGAAACTTGATCCCTCTTACATAAAGCTATCCACGCTGCAAAAACTGTCCGCGGTTCATTATCCGAAGAGTTCTTCCTTTTCTTTTAGACCGAGTGTGAGGTTGAGCGTTGCATTTCGGCTGTAAAGTCCAACACTGAAGAAACGGGAAAAATGTATTTCGTTCGAGTGCTTGCGTTGCATGCGCTACGTTAATGTTTAAAGTTACACAAAAATCATGTAATACGGAATAGGGTAATAATAATTGACAAGTTTTAGAAATCAATCTCACGTTATTTACTAATGTTTACAGAATCAATAAATCAATGGATATTCATCATTATGTTATGTATTTCGGTAAAAAAATTAAATCAAAAACTATTTTCAAGTTGCCGCGAAAAACATATCTCTGGACAATATGGCGTCTTGCTGGTGTGTGTCGTCACCCGAATGTCATTAAAACGTCAATCCATACAATCTAATGTCACTTTAGCCGGAAGTTTACTTGCGTGTGACGACATTTTAGGCTCCACCAATCCCAAGCGTTTTGGGTCACGTGACAAAAGACAACAGAACTATTATCTTTATTGTGGGTTTTCAGTAAAATTATGAATATTTTTTCTGTAAAAATAGTAAAAACTCCTGCCAATATTCATTCTAAATACAGATGCTAACAATGGAAAAGTATACGCAAAGCTTGACATAGATGGCGCTGAAAACGCTTGACCCTAACCACAGCCGAATATTGCAGCTGTCATATTTTAGGTTTAAAGAATTTTATTTCTCATACGAACTTACACAGACAGTTCACTTAAAATGAGATACATAACTAAAACTAATAACTTAATTGAAATGACGCAGCGCAGCTGCTTTATAAAACTATAATTTAGTACAATAGGTAGGCAAAGTATTGTTATTAATACAAGCACAATACAAAAATGCAATCTGGCATGTTTACGAGCGAATGACAAAATTATTATTTTGCTACCGTCCCTTCACAAAGAAAAAAAGAAAAACATGCAATTCGTACCGGCGGAGTACCGATAAGTAACCAAGACGGTAGATATTGTTTCATCAGTCACTCGATGCACAGCATTATGAAAGATGCGGAGTCGCTAATGCAACTCATTGCGTTAGAAATTATATTTATATATTTAATTTTTGAATTTTCCTTTACCACGTCCCGATATAAACAAACACAACAAAAGAAGAAAAAAAAAACTTTTCCCTGCAGTATTTTAGAAAATTGGGGCAACATAGTAGGTACATTTTAGCGATTCCCTTTTTTTATTTATACAGTCAGATCCAGTCCCAACCACAATCCGCTTCCCGTTTACACGTAAATTATGAAGAAAAATCGTAGATATATATATACACAAAAAACCGACCAAAACGAACAATAAACCGATCCATATATACAATTTATTTAAGTTTACAGCTCACTTAGTATGAGTATTTTAAGCAATTTTTTATATTTTTTTACGTTTTCGGAATTTTTAATCTCTTCAGGTAATTTATTGTAAAAGTTGACTCCTTCAAAAGTTATGTTCCTTCTACCATAATTCACTGCCCTTGGCAAAGGCAGCCATAGTTTGTTCTTATTTCTTAAATTATGTTTAAATTGCCTTTATGGAATATTTATATTAGTGTGTATTGTTTTTGTTATAATTTTTTTTATTAAGATACATACGTTATACTTGAAGAGTTGTTCGATATTAAATAATTTAGTTTTTTTATATAGAAATTTTGTGTTTGTACGGAAATTCATGTGAAACAAAACTTCTATAATTTTATTTTGTAATATTTTAATTTTTTATCTTAAACGTGAAAAATATTAAATAAGTGGTGAAAATGTATTAGTAAGGTGAAAAAGTAATACAGCTGAAAACAGTTGAAAAGGAGAAGCAAGGCAGAAAAGCTAATCTAGTAGAAAGGTACTCTTTCTATTATTATGCTAGAATGCTCATTCTCGGTACATAAATGCATTTTCCATGATTATTTTGATAGTTAATGGATCTTAGTACCTTTTAGCAGGCTCATTAATCAAATCTATCTCATGTTTGCATCAGTCTGACATCTCATAGAGTTAGGTTACCTCTGGCTAAAATGGGAAGTACAACATTTTTTTACTCGTAGACTCGAGACTCGTAAACTCGACTCGTATGACAAACAAATGAAAGTGCAGTACATAAAATTTATAGTAGTGGTAGTAACAATATTATATGTGTATCTAATACACTTAACTGAACACACATACCACAGCATTCTAAGACACGTATGATTGCATAGACATAGCTTTATATTAAGTATTATGTATCGACCTGAATAAAAAAAACGAGCGAGCCATACAGTAGTCGCGTATGATGTGTAACATTTGAAACCTCACCTTATATTAGTAAAAAAAGAAATAAAACCTATTACAAAAGGAATAAGCTATTTGAACATTATGTTCTAAAATCAAACCAAATAGCGCGCGCTTTCGCGACTTCCTGTTAAACACACCCGTTCCATTTAACGAAACCCCTCCCACAAATTGCAGGAAAGCGAGAGGAAAGATGTTACACATTAAATATAGTAATATAAATTAAATAACTCTTTATTAAATACTTAAAGTAAATTACAAATCCCTTCGCGACTACATATATTATTATCTGCAAATTGTAACTAACGATAACATTTGATTTTGAGTCACGCTTAGCGTATATGTAAAATAATTTGTTTTGCAATGCACACCAACAACTTTGCGATTACATACGTGTGAGTTTAATACGCTTTTACTGTTAATTCCACTCTCTCTCGTTAGGCGTAAGGTGCATAAACGTTAGTACTGAATGTTTCCGGTAGTGTGGTGTGCGTAATTATGTAGTAATAGTTGTAGTGTGCGAGCTAGATGGACGTGGAGGGGACACAGCGGCGACATCGGTTTCAGAAAGAAAAAGTAATCATAACATTTCTATCCTCTTATTATATGTTCTGTGATACGGATACTTATATTTTAAGTATATAAAGAAATACATATTAAACATCCATAACTGGAGTACAAATGCTCGTATTCATCACACAAACATCTACCCCCACCAGAATTCGAACCCGAGGTGGCGATACCTTGAAAACCTTGTATAAACCACTCGGTCACGGAGGTCGTCAATGTATCTTTATGTCCCCTGTGTGGATCTATAATTGAGTTGTTAAACTTTAATGTTTATTACAGGCGTGTACATAATGTCAAAGAGTTCAGGCATAATGAAGATTGATACGCCAGGAAAAATAGGACCAGGACTTAACATTGATCAAGATGTGATAAGAAAACAAATATTAGCTGCCAAACAGGTATGTGGTTAACAAGACTTCAACTACCTATTACCAAGACATTTATTTATTTATATGTGGAAAAGTATGCCATGGAGGAAATAGATGCTAAAATGTATTTTGTTTTACAGAAAAAGACAGAAGAAATAAAAAAAGTAACTTCGTCGCCAGTGCATATGACAGGGACTCCTCAGGTATAGATTTTCTGTTTTCTTTTCAAAGAAAGTTTTAACATTTTTACTTGCTGTGTTATTTTTGCCCATTGATATTAAGGGATGGATTCTTGTCTTCATTATATATTTTGCAGTCGTTGCAATTAAAGGTTAACTTTAGACATAATATAAGAGATTTTCGTCATGTATCTTAAGTACCTTATCTGCTAAACATCAAAAGTTGTGACAGCATGGGAAACTAATTCTTTTCGAGGAACAATGATTTCCCAGCCTACAGCTTACGTTACTTTTGGACACTACCTTAAGATTTTTAAAGTAGCATAAGCTATAAAACGTGGGTAGTGGCGTTAGCCTACTAACGCTAGGTAGGAGTGGATAATTTTTACTTTGCGAGTAACTTAACAGCTGATACATTTAAGCCGGGTCTCCAGCGCCAATAATAATCATTGCCCTACACAATCGACAAAAACTTATTAACATTGAACAAAATCAGCTACACAAAGCTCTGTTTCAATACACATTTGTTGCATCAACAAAGATTTTGCTTTCCGAGACCGATGGAAACAAACGTATACAAATGACCCCCGCGCGGGTCGAGGGTCACGGTATTGTTTCTTTGGCCATTTATTAACCACTCGCTAGCGGGGGCTGCGTTCCAAACCTACGCTCCAAATGCAACTTAATACTCTGACGTTTTTAATTTTGACATAAAATGTATGAATTTTTTGTCAAATTTTTGACGACATTTGTTGCACCTTGAACGCAGTCCTGTGTATTTTGTGTACGACAGCCGCGAGGAGTATACTGCGTGTGTAGCGAAATATGTTGCAAAAACAAAGTTTTGAGTATGTGTTTTTGTTGAATGTATTCAAAAAAGTTTTGCTGGAGACCCGGCTTAAGTATTTTCTGTTGCTCCTATGTGACCATGTATACTGAGGACATTTTCTGGTATGTTTTAAATCTGTATTTATCGTCATTGTTTCTTTATATAAGTTTTTTTGCATATTATTCTAGGCAAAGCTGGCAAAGAAAACGTTCTCGGCGACAGGGCAACAAGTGACCGAGAAGACTATAATCACGCCGTCGGGCCAGAAGATCATCAAGCGGACGATACAAAGGCCAGTAGGAGTAACTCCCACTGAGAAATCACCAGTGGCTATACTTAACAAGAAGCTTGCACAGGTAATTTTTCACAGTAGTTAATATAATATTGATTGATATACTTTGTTTTAATAATGTTTTAAATATAGCATTAACCTCCTTGGTTTATAAATCTTAAGATTTTTTTTACTGGAAAAAGCACTACACAACATAAAATTAGGGTTTACCTACAGTCAACGATATTAAAAACTCTAAATACAACATAACCAAACCTGTCCAAAAGGTACTTGGACGATCTCAAGAGCTCCGTGGGATGATCGTTTAAACAAAATATAAGGCTTTATTTAAACATTCAATGCCTTATTACATAACATTGACTAAAGAGAAGCCTGGACTAAAACTGATGCTGTCACTTTGTTTGCTAAAAGAAGACAAAGACAGCATTAGGCTTAAACCAAGACTTATGTTAGTCCGCGTTTTGGAATAAGGTGGTCAAAGTAACCATTAATGCATAGTACGTAAGGTCTTTATTTAAACTAATGCGTCAAGAGTTATGACGGTTATAAATGCAAGCTCGTAAAATTTTAAGACTTGTCGCTGTAGGCGGAAGAATATAGACTTTATTTGTATGACTTTATATCGCAATTTGAATGCGCTGCTAGCAATATAGCAGGTACGAAACGCGAGGGAAAGAGACGGCTACATAACTGACCATGCATTTGAATATCACTAATAATTTCTATCTAATCAGTTTATAGTAAGTATTACAATAAAATTTGATGTTAAATTAACAAACATTAATTAGATACCTGTCTTTCACGGAGCTCTGCGGCATCTTGACTTTTTAACTCAATCAGTTCTTGGTTCACAGTCACGGCTGGACTAGCCGTGACTGTGAACCAAGAACTGATTGAGTGGTGTTCAAGCGCTTCTTGATTGGGACACAATTTAAGCGCACTTGGTGTATAGGGTTTATAATATCGTTGCTTACAATGCGAAGAAATGACGCTGCCTTGCAGCCTATGAAATACTGGAACAAAAACCTACGCTATCATTAAGACCTTGACCAAGTGGACTTTTTTCTAGTTTTTTTTAAATTTATTTTATTGTATTTTGAAGAGGTCTTAATCTAAGTTTTAAAAGACATGTATTTTGTAAATTCCTTGTATTTTCGATACACAGTTAATCTGCCGTAATATATATATATATATATATATATTTAGAAATGATAAAAGTAGTCTTTGTGTAAAAAGTAGTATAGTGTAGATGTTTTCATCATCATCATGTGATGTGTGCTGTTCTCCTATAAATGATATTTCGTGAGGTGACCGTAAGTAGGGACAACCACCCAATCATTGGCACAATTTTGAGTATAGTTAGAATCATATTGAAAATTTTAATGCTCCATATTAAGCTGTCACTGAAACAGTGCTGCCAATTTTTAAATTTTAAATCATACTAGGATACTTACCGAACCTAAATAATCTATGGTTTCCTTGTTCTTTTCGTACTAAACTCAAAAGTGCCAATAATTGGAAGAGTGCCAATGATTGGGTGGTTAGAAACTAATTCATTATTTATTCTTCAGTTTATGTACATAAACTTATATATGTACTGTATAGGTATTCTATCCGTTACCCTAGTATCCTATAACACAAGTCTTACAGTGCTTTTATTTATTATTCAACTTGTATAGGGTGATAGCCTTCTCCGAAGAGGCGGAATGATCCGAGGCCGCGGCCGAGGCTCGTACCCCTCCATCGCCACGGCGGGCGGTAACATTGTACGCATTCGGGAAAAGGTGCCCATCAGCTTGGACTTCGATCGGGTATGACTTTCATTACACTAATATGTGTTTTTGAAAATAACGTCTATGATTGTATTGGTGTACTTTTGTTGGTAGAGGAGTGATTTATCTGGAGATAGAAATTTATTAGTAAATCTGTGCTACGCTGTAACTGCCTGCTTTTCGACATTGCTTTTTATTGGAGCACTATCACTTTTAGTTAAGAGTGCCGCTTTTCATAACCCACGCCAATAAAGAAACAATATTAAAATGGCAATGCACTCCCATTCGCACATTACCTTTGAATTCGCAAAAAAATATGAGAATATTTGTACATCCATTTTCGATTCTTTTTTGGTACACCTCTTCCGCATGCGTTGTCTCCAACCAAACTTTTCGTTTCTTTTACCACCCCGCAATTTCTCAAATTGCAATCTAGGTAAATAAAGGTTTTTCATTCATTTCAATCTCAAACTTGCAATGTTTATACAAACTGCCTCACATTGCACGCTATTTGCCATAAATAATATCAATATAAAAACAAAAAATCGCATGTTTCACCAGTCGGACGCGTCATCGGACACATCGGACGGTGTAGACGATCCGTTCCCCCGGGAACTTGGTCCTATTCCGCCGCCAAGCCCCGACCGGCCGTTGACTATATGCCCGGAGACTGGGAAGAGATTGGCCCGAGCAGAGGGGGAGCCCACGCCCCCGCCTACGCCTTCGCCTCCGCCTACGCCGCCGCCCGCGGAAGTCGCCACCCCAATGCTTATGAAGGTATAGTATCATGTTTACCGTTATGTTGACCCGCTAACTATATGCCCGGAAACTGGGAAAAGCTTGGGCCGAGCAGAGGGGAAACCCACGCCGCCGCCTCTGCCTACGCCGCCACCCGCGGAAGTCCCCACCCCCATGCTTATGAAGGTATAGTATCATGATTACTGGTATATTGACCTGTTTTTATATGCCCGAAGACTGGAAAGAGATTGGTCCAAGCAGAGGGGGCGTTCACGCCCCTGCCTACACCGCCGCCCGTAGAAGTTATTAAGTTCCTTATCAAGCAAGGAAAATCCGCTCAGAGCTCAAAAGCTGTTGGCGGTTTACACGGACTCTGCCACTGGTAAAACCATGGTTTACAAGTGGCATGGTCTTTTCAAACAAGAAAGAGTCCCCATTGAAGATGACCCCCGCTCCGGACGGCCAATTGAGGCCACTACACCGGAAATCGTCGAAAGAGTAGAAAAACTTGTATTGGAAGATGCCTGGTTGAAGAAGAAGCAGCTTGCAGCAATGATTGGATTATAAACAAGTATTTTGAATATTCTACAACATCATCATGGGATGACTAAGGTCAGTGCAAGATGGGTTCGGAGAATTACGCCACTTCAAAAACGCTAGCGTGTCGAGTGTTCTTGCCAGTTTTTGGAGCTCTGTGGAGAGAGAAAGGAAGAAGTTCTGCCCCGAATCGTTACTGGTGATGAAACCTGGGACCACTATGATCCTGAGTCAAAGCAAGAGCCGATGCAGTGGCATAAAAATGGTACACCTCCTCCAAAGAAGTTCAAAGTGACAGAATCGGCTGACAAGTTCATGGCGACTGTCTTTTGGGATACAGAAGGTATTTTACTGATCGATTATAAAGAACGTGGTGTGGCTATAACGGGACAGTACTACGCTTCTTTACTGGAAAGATTGAAAGAAGCCATCAAGGAAAAAAGGAGAGGAAAGCTGTCAAAAGGTGTGCTCCTTCTGCACGACAATGCACCCGTTCACATGTGCCATTTTGCGACGGCTGCCATTCACCGATGCGGCTTCGAACAATTGAACCACCCGCACGGTGGAATATGGTAGAACAAACGCATATCAAAATTGTATTTTATTACTGATTGAAATTGGGTAATATATGAATATAATTTAATAGTTCAAAAGTCGAAGTTTAATATTCTGCAGCGTAATTCATATTTTATTTCGTAAAAGTATTTTTTTTCATGTAGCAAAGTTAAACGTTTAGGCAGCTGGGAAATATTAAGTTCTTCATTTACGTTTTTCAACGTGAAATAGTTTTAAAACTTGAAATGAAAGGTATAAGGTTTATATATTTTTGAAAAGCACATTTATCAGAGGTTAGAAATAAATACAATTGATTGTTTTTAATACGAATATAAATTTAAAAACCAATTTAAAGAAAAAATAGAGAAATATTTTTTTTCCTCAACTTCGTCGAATCTTTTAACATTTAGAGTTGTTTACCGATGCTTTGAATTTAATGTTAAATTATAGGTTAGTTACTCATCTAAAACATAAAAAAATTAGCTGCGGCTTTTTGCGGTTTTCGGAGATATGTGAAAAAATCGAATACTAGTCTGGGAACGGAAATCGCTATCAAATGCGGTTTCGTAGTTTACTTTTATTATCAATAGTTTGTGGTACATTTTATGAATTAATTATTTGATATTGTTATGTAGGTTTTATCATTTCGATGTCATTTTCCGTGAGAAAATAGATATCTGAAATAATTCCCACATTCTGAAACAATATAAAAAGGGCAGTGAAAAAATATGTCTCCGTTACCGTGGTCTTTACGTCTACGTACTCTAGTAGGTACGGTTATTTCATTATTCAACATGTCTACTTTTAACTGTACTAAACGTGAGTTAATAGTGTCTTATATAGAAGGCGGAAAAACGACTGCGGCACTCAACATATTTGGAGGGAAAACAAATTTCGGATGTCAATATATGTTTTATTATTGACCAAATTCAAAGGGATGTCATCCCTTCGTTTAATAAACGCTGGAGTGAAGCAGGACGCAATAAAAATACCTTTTTAAGAAAGAACACCAATTGGTTGGATTCTGAATATTCGTTAACTATACCAATATCAGAAAACGTGTCAACAGACTACACCGTCTACTTCTTCTGGTAAACGAGGAAGACCGTGTGTGTCATATGGAGACTTCAGAATCAAGCAAAAAAAGAATAAACACCATTTTGCTAAATGAATATGGTTTGGAGCACATTCTAAGCGCATATCTTCAAGGATTGCGTTCTATAGGAGAAGGAATGAAGCAAAAGTTGTTGAAAAATTAAGGTTGGCTGATGCAGAGAAAAAGGTTTTCGTTATAAATCAATTAGATGATCCAAAAATAATTAAAGGGCTTACAGATGAAGAAGCATTAAGTGTCTTCATCGACTTGGAACTAACAAAGGCACAATATCTGTATCTCAGAAACGTTACAGATGAAAGAAACTGTTCTTTATTTCCACCATACTATAAAATACAGGAAATGAAACAGGTGCTATCCACCATCATCAACAATCGAAATCACAAATACTTATGCAAAAATATTGAGAGTTCAAGATCTATTGGATCACACTGCAGCTCGAATTTTATCAATAGATAAGGTTTACAAGAATGGACAAAAACATTTACTATTGTATAGGAAATGGGGTTGTGATGGGTCATCTGGACAAAGCCAGTACAAGCAAGCACTACCAGAGGAGTCTGAACTTATTTCCAATGCAAATTTATTTATTACTTCTTTTGTGCCTATCAGATTAACTGACGTGGTATCAGGCGCCATCACATGGCAAAATCCAGTGCCTTCATCTGTTCGTTTCTGTCGGCCTATATCTATAGAATTTTGCATAGAAACGCCAGAAAAAACTAAATCGGTTACTTGTTACTTGTTGTGGGCCCCCGTTTCCGCACGTAGACTCTGTATTTGGTCCATTGTGCGTGCAGGGTATATTGGGCTAGCTAGCTCAGCCAGCCCAGCTCCTTCCAGAAGCGCAGTAGTCTCCTGGGACTCTCACAGGCTTCTAGGAGCGTCCTCGGCTTCCTGAGGATTGATGCCCGGTGTTCTGCTACGCTCATGCATTCCAGGATCACATGTGCGGCTGTTTCATCTGCTTCCAGACATCCTCTGCATAGAGAGCTATCTGTAACACGTATGGTTAGTAGATGCTTGTTAAGTAGGCAGTGCCCTGTTATGGTGCCCAGCATTACTCGGAGGTCATTTCGGTTAAGATTTAGTAGTTTTTTAGTTAGGTTAGGGTTAAGTCTAGGGAAAATATCCTTAGATTGCCTGCAGCCCTCGGTACTAGCCCATCGGCTGTTATGGCTCTGTATGGTTCTTTGACGCACCCATGTACGAACTTGATTGAAGGGTAATGGTAGAAGTGGCTCAGGGCCTTCCACTCTTTGTGATGATCCCCTTCTAGCCAGTTCGTCGGCCGCGTCATTACCCATAGAGCCACTATGTCCCTTGATCCATTGGAGGGTAACCTTGTTATCTGTTGCTATGCGCTCCAATGCTAGGTGACATTCGTGTATTAGCCCAGAAGTTTTGCTGTTGTTATCTTGGGCTCTTAGGACAGCCATACTATCAGATAATATACGTATCTTGTAGTTTGTGACTTTCCTGTTGATAACAGCGGTGGCGGCCTGAGTAATAGCTATACATTCGCATTGGAATATTGAGCTGTGATTACCCAGTGCTGTTGATATATGTATGTTAAGGTCCAGTGAGAAGACTCCTGCGCCTGATCCGGATCCAGGTATTTTGGATCCATCAGTGTATATGCGTAGTTCGTCTGTGCCTGACCAGTCCTTGTTGGTTTCTAGTAGTTCTATTTGATATTTCTTATCAAATGTAAGAGCAGTCGGGATTTTGTCACAGCGGGCTATTACAAGAGGTTGGTATTGTATAGCCCTTTCCAAGATTTTGGAGTGAGGTCCCTGGTTTTCCGTCCACAAGCCCAGATGGTACATTCTTAGCGCTGCCATGGTTGCTTCCTGTTGTATAAACAGATCCAGTGGCGGCAGGCCAAGCGCTATTTCTAGGGCGTTTGTGGGTGTGGATTTCATGCAGCCTGTTATAGCAGAACATGCTAATTTTTGAAAACGCTGCAGTTTATTTATTGCGGTGTTGATTTCGGTTCTAGGCCACCAAACTATTGCACCGTAGATGATGAGTGGTCTGATTATGGTTGTGTAAAGCCATTTTGTGATTTTTGGTGCAAGACCCCAGGTTTTACCAAGTAGCCTTTTGCACTGCCAAAATGTTATACAGGCTTTGTTTATCTTTTGGTCTAAGTGACTATTCCATGTAAGCTTATGGTCAAGAACTATGCCTAGATATTTGACCTCGTTCGACATAGATAGTTCGGTGTTGAATAACTTGGGGAGTTTCATGGCATCCAAGTTACGTTTCTTCGTGAACATGACCATCTCTGTTTTGGTCGGATTCACCGATAGTTGGTGCTTAGTGCACCAGTTTTCGACTATCTTGAGAGCGTTGCTCATTAAGTTGCACAGTACATTTTGAAATGGCCCACTTATGAGGATTACTAGGTCGTCTGCATAGCCAACTGTGTGGTAGTTGCGCTGATTGAGTTCGCAAATTAGTTCGTCAACCACAATGTTCCACAGAAGAGGAGATAAAACTCCTCCCTGTGGGCAACCCTGTGCCACTACGGCTCTCTTCGTAGTGTTCACCGTCACTTGTATTGCTCTGTATTTCAGCATGTTGTTGATCCATCCCGCAGTCGTGGGGTCAACACCATGTCTCACAAGTGCTTGGCTGATGCTGGTAAAGTTCGTTTTATCAAAAGCGCCTTCAATGTCAATGAAGACTCCCAGCGTTGACTGTTTTGGTGATAGTCCACGTTCTATTTGCCTGACCACACTGTGTAACGCGGATTCGGTGGATTTGCCCATGCTGTAGGCGTGTTGATTGGCATGAAGTGGTACTCTCTTTAGAGCATTATCTCTCA